AATGTCTTACTTCATGGATTCGAGAGAATAGGAGAACAGTCGCCTGACAAATAGTTGGTTCAGTCCGATTCAGGTACCAATCCAGGTGCCTAAACAAATAGAACCTTTATTGATTTGCTAGTTGATAAGGTAAATATCCAGCCCACTAAATGCTAGGCTTAATGAGGATAAGGGCCTCCAAAAAAATTCTTTTCGTTCTATGAACTTTAAGGTGTATGAAGTCTCATAGTCAACTCTTGTAGCGGAACGATAGAGACTCTATTTCACTTAGGTTGATTTAATTTAGGCCGGAGGCAGACCTAAGTCAAGGTAATCCTCCTTTGAAACACTTTGGTATTGCTCTTAGATAGATCATAATACAAATAATCAATCAGAGCGCAGGGAGCCATCTCATTATCTTTCCGTAAAGAAAAACTATGGTGGACTAACTGATCTTTCTATCAGTTGATAAAAGAGCCCAATGCAAAAAAATGCATGTTGGGTCTTTGAAACAGTTCGAATCATTTCGATAATAATCCGTTTGATCTGTTTTACCGAGAAGGTCTACGGTTCGAATCCGTATAGCCCTAATATGTCCTTTTTTAGATTTTAGGAGAGATATCCTACGTTTCCTTTAGTATAGTTTTCATTTCCCTATTAGTACTTGTTTATAGACTGGACAGGCGCCTGCGCCATAAAATAGAGATAAAAGGATTACCAGAGGCTCATTCATCGAAAATTATAGAGACAGGAAAAGAAAAATGAATTTCTATCAAATCAACTGCAAGATGTTCTCCATCTTGCAAATTCCTACTTTGTTTGAAGTATATTACTTTGCTTATCTATATCTATAGATTACCTAAATCTAAATCAATCTACGTTCTGAAATAGAGTTCTTTATTTTTATAGAATTACTCCTCATTAGGCTGCATACATTAGTCATCCTATCTTAATTAGGCTCTAATTCGTAGTATTTTCGTTTTTATTCCTTTTTCTAGAGATTCTAGAGAAAATGAGACAAAGTGAAGCGAGAGAGTTTTGTTTCTATAAGAATTATGTCTCCACCATACCTAAATAGAAAGGAAATCAAAAAGAAAGGGGGTCGGGATTCCATTGGATGAATCTTTAAAGAAGACGTGGCAAAGAGGAAACAAAGGCTAAACTAAGCCCTTTGGTTTGAGAAAAACCGATCCTTGTTTCACCGAGGAAAAGAGAGAAATTCTGTATAAATTGACAATGCTGACTTGAATTGACTAATTCAGTTCCGCCTATTCCACATTAATGGGAGTACATTTATGTTTCTGCTTCACGAATATGATATTTTTTGGGCATTTCTAATAATAGCAAGCCTTATTCCTATTTTAGCATTTTGGATTTCAGCACTTTTAGCTCCGGTTCGTGAAGGACCAGAGAAGCTTTCTAGTTATGAATCGGGTATAGAACCCATGGGGGGGGCTTGGTTACAATTCCGAATACGCTATTACATGTTTGCGCTAGTTTTTGTTGTTTTTGATGTGGAAACGGTCTTTCTCTACCCTTGGGCAATGAGTTTCGACGTATTGGGTATATCCGTTTTTATCGAAGCTTTCATTTTCGTGCTTATCCTAGTTGTTGGTTTAGTTTATGCATGGCGAAAAGGAGCCTTGGAATGGTCTTAACTGAATATTCAGACAAAAAAAAAAAGAAGGAAAAGATTCCATTAAGACAGTTATGAGTTTGATTGAGTTTCCCCTACTTGACCAAACAAGTTCCAATTCCGTTATTTCAACTACACTAAAAGATCTTTCGAATTGGTCAAGACTCTCTAGTTTATGGCCCCTTCTATATGGTACCAGTTGTTGTTTCATTGAATTTGCTTCATTAATAGGCTCACGATTCGACTTTGATCGTTATGGATTGGTACCAAGATCAAGTCCTAGGCAAGCGGACCTAATTTTAACAGCCGGTACAGTAACAATGAAAATGGCTCCCTCTTTAGTGAGATTATATGAGCAAATGCCTGAACCAAAATACGTCATTGCTATGGGAGCTTGTACTATTACTGGTGGAATGTTCAGTACGGATTCCTATAGTACTGTTCGGGGAGTTGATAAGTTAATTCCTGTGGACGTCTACTTGCCGGGTTGCCCACCTAAACCAGAGGCTGTTATAGATGCCCTAACAAAACTTCGTAAGAAGATATCGCGAGAAATAGTTGAGGATCGAACTCTATCTCAAAAGAAAAATCGATGTTTTACTACCAGCCACAAGCTTTATGTTCGGCGCAGTACTAATACTGGAACTTATGAGCAAGAATTGCTCTATCAATCACCATCTACTTTAGACATATCTTCTGAAACTTTTTTCAAATCCAAAAGTCCAGTATCTTCCTACAAATTAGTGAATTAGGAGGAGCTCTTTGTGCCGAAAAAGAAAGAGCAGGGCAATATTTCAAACTTGCATTCGAACTGCGAAATATTTATACAAAGGAGGAGAGATCAAGATAATGCAGCAGGGTTGGTTATCTAATTGGCTAGTCAAACATGAGGTGGTTCATAGATCTTTGGGCTTCGATCATCGAGGAATAGAGACTTTGCAAATAAAAGCAGAGGATTGGGATTCCATTGCTGTCATTTTATATGTATATGGTTACAATTATTTACGTTCCCAATGTGCTTATGACGTTGCACCCGGTGGATCTTTAGCTAGCGTGTATCATCTTACGAGAATACAGTATGGTATAGATAACCCAGAAGAAGTATGCATAAAAGTCTTTGCCCAAAAGGATAATCCTAGAATCCCATCTGTCTTCTGGATTTGGAGAAGTTCCGATTTTCAAGAACGCGAATCTTTTGATATGGTGGGAATCTCTTATGATAATCATCCACGCCTTAAACGTATCCTAATGCCTGAAAGTTGGATAGGCTGGCCCTTACGTAAGGACTATATAACCCCCAATTTCTATGAAATACAAGATGCTCATTGAATGATAAGAAATTCATGCTCACTTATACAACACAACTCCAGATTTTATGCAAGTCAAGGAATATTTTTACGCTCTGTTCCTAGATGAAACAGAATACCTATTACATTCTAATTAATTCCAATTATACAAAAGGTTCAGATAGACTAAGCAAAAAAGGGCTTCATTTCGTTGGAAAATCACATATTCATTTCCTTCGTATGAACAGAAAAATATGATGACTCAAAGAAGTTCCCTACCACGAACTTTGTACCGCGTGCATTACTTAGAACAACTAGGAAAGTAAGATAAGATAAGCAAGAATAAAAAAATATTTGTCGGAATAGCGGAATAGAAAATTAAGAAATGCAAAAATGCAGAAAAAGAAGTGCCTCTATTTAGAGATTTATCTACTTAGATGAAAAAATCATACTCTATCTATATTATTAACGAATATGTATCCCAACCCATCTCGAGGTATTTGTATCAATACCTATTCGGAAGATCCCTTTTTTCTGTGCCAGGAACCAGATTTGAACTGGTGACACGAGGATTTTCAGTCCTCTGCTCTACCAACTGAGCTATCCTGACCTTTTCTTGTGCATCATCCTAGTAGAGTATTTGTATCTATGTCAATATCCAAAATTTGGAAATGGGGAGGGGGCAGTCCTATGCATTGTACAAAGAAAGCCTATTTAATAATATTTAAATATCGAGTTAATAATCGACATTCCTTGCCGATACTATAATAAAAAAGAAATGTATTCCATTGAATCTTAAACCTATTAATAAAAAAACAGGATAAATACTAGAGTTAGGGAATAAAAGAGGGTTTGGGGATAGAGGGACTTGAACCCTCACGACTTAGAAAGTCGACGGATTTTCCTTTTACTAGAAATTTCATTGTTGTCAGTATTGACATGTAGAATGGGACTCTCTCTTTATCCTCGTCCGATTAATCCGCTTTTAAAAAGATTTCGAAAACTATGAATTGAAGGATTTGATTACTCAATATTCGATTGGAATGGATTCACAACAATTCTAAAAAAATTATGAATTTTCTATTTCATAATCATTCCTATTTTCATTTTAAAAAAGAATTAAAGAACCTATATTATGATATGAGTTCTGTGATTAATCGTTTGCTATGCCAGTATCTATACGTGTGTATTAGATTTCGAAAGCCCTTCTTTCCCTAATTTAGAAGGGAGTTCCGCTAGCAACACAACGTAATTAACTCGATTCGTTAGAACAGCTTCCATTGAGTCTCTGCACCTATCCTTTTCCTTTGGGTTCTAGTTCGAGAACCGCTTGTTTTCTCAAAACATGGATTTGGCTCAGGATTGCCCCTTTTTTAATTCCAGGGTTTCTCTGAATTTGGAAGTTGCCACTTAGCAGGTTTCCATACCAAGGCTCAATACAATCAAGTCCGTAGCGTCTACCGATTTCGCCATATCCCCATTTTCTTTTTCTTTGAGACCAGGATTCCTTGTGCAATTTCCTCCATCTGTTAGTTTTTTTTGAATCGTTGAATTCATTACTCTATGTAGTCTAGCGGTTCGTCTCTAGTTGAGAGACTCCGCTTATTGCAATTCAGCATTGAATTGATTCTATCGTTGATGTATTTGCAATTCAATGCAAATCAATATATCCCAAGGTTTTTCTCTCCCCCACCTACCGCGTTCCTTTTTTAGAGTATTCAAAATCATACTATAACGCTTGATATTCATTCTTTTTTTTTGCTAATCAGAATTAGCAATTTCATTTGCTATGATTCTATGTTCTCCTTAGTGAAATATTAATCATTAAATTATTAGCAAATAACAAAAAAAAAACAAAATATCTCAAAAAATGTCTATAATGATGGACTGAAAATACAAGAAATTCGCATGTTCTCTTTATTATGTTTTCGTATATAATATATATTATTTATTCTTTTCCATGTATTAGATTATTCGTCCGAGCCATATCAAATTAAAAATATCTAAAATCAAATTCAATATAGAAATTGGAATAGATTCTATTAGAAAAATAGATTTGCGAATTAGAGAAAAAAGAAAGTTCAAAAAAATCTATCTAACTTTATTTTATGAAGTTCTAGTATTTTTTTCTAAGTAGAACTTCCAATTTCGAACTAGTTAATAGCTAAGATTAATAATTAAGATCTGACATTTTACGGATTTCCTATACTATACATATTTCTATTTGTTACACTATTTCTGTTATGTAAGCCCACTTAGCTCAGAGGTTAGAGCATCGCATTTGTAATGCGAGGGTCATCGGTTCAAATCCGATAGTCGGCTTTTTTCTCTATCAATGTTCCATGAACAAAAATACCTCTTTTTCTCCGAATTAAATGGAGAAGCCAGGATCTATTATGTCGTTCTACCCTACAATTTTGCTAGATACAAAACAATAAAATAAATAATATATATACAAAAATTCAGATGTTGATGAAATTCCATTTTTTTGTGGTACTTTTAGTAGATTTTACTCTGTTTATCCTTTACTTTAATTCAGTTTTAATTTCGATGTATTCTGTAATGTAAATACAATGAAATTAATTGTGTAAAATGAAATTTCAATAAAAAAAGGAGTCTTCATGTCCCGTTATCGAGGACCTCGTTTTAAAAAAATACGCCGTCTGGGAGCTTTACCAGGACTCACTAGAAAAACACCTAAATCCGGAAGTAATCTGAAAAAGAAATTCCATTCTGGGAAAAAAGAACAATATCGTATTCGTCTTCAAGAAAAACAGAAATTGCGTTTTCATTATGGTCTGACAGAACGACAATTACTTAGATATGTACATATCGCTGGAAAAGCAAAAAGTTCAACAGGTCAGGTTTTACTACAATTACTTGAAATGCGTTTGGATAATATCCTTTTTCGATTAGGTATGGCTTCAACCATTCCCGAGGCCCGGCAATTAGTTAACCATAGACATATTTTAGTTAATGGTCGTATAGTCGATATACCAAGTTTTCGTTGCAAACCCCGAGATATTATTACTACGAAGGATAACCAAAGATCAAAACGTCTGGTTCAAAATTCTATTGCTTCATCCGACCCGGGGAAATTGCCAAAGCATTTGACGATTGACACATTGCAATATAAAGGACTAGTAAAAAAAATCCTGGATAGGAAGTGGGTCGGTCTCAAAATAAATGAGTTGTTAGTTGTAGAATATTACTCTCGTCAAACTTGAACTTAAGGAAAAACGGAAAGGTTCATAGAATTTTCTTCCCCTTCCCCTTTCCCCGAACTAAATCGACCTAAGGCTCTTAATTCGTATTTTCCCATTCACCTAACAGAAATGGATTAACCCTAGGATTCCTTTTTGTTTTTTGTTCTTTCCTCTATGTGTATTTTACATACCATAGTAATTTGGTATAGAGAATTTCTATTAAATAAAGGTATTGTATTATTGCTGGAATAAATTGTCATTTGATTTGATACATTGTAATCATTAACGTTGGTGAATTAAGAAAAACGGAAAGAGAGGGATTCGAACCCTCGGTAAACAAAAGTCTACATAGCAGTTCCAATGCTACGCCTTGAACCGCTCGGCCATCTCTCCTCCATAATCTTATTATGGAAAAAAAACTGAGTGAATAGCGAGTTTTCCTATTCCTGCAGTACAGGTACAACCACAACCGCGCGAGAGTTCCATTGTTCTATTAGATAGAAAAATTCCTTTTCATCTAAGTGGACGGGTCCAGGATTTTTTTACTAGGAATTCCGCTCCCTCGAAAAGTTTTAGTTTGGGTTTTCCCCAAACCAAAGAAAAAGAGAATGGAAGAATTCTTCTTATTCGATAAAAAAGGAACCCTAGAATTCTGTTTGCATAAGGTATCCTACCCCATACAATCAAATAGAAAATAGGGTATGGGACGATTAATGACTTTGAAAATGCGAAATAGTTGATGAGAGAAGTTGTTGTTGAGAAAAGAAATAGGAAAGTGGAATGAAATCCAATCTTAGTCAAATATTTTCTATCTCTTCTTGTTCAAACAGAAGGAAAAAGAGAGAATTTGGGCTGAGCAGAAATACCTCTCTTATCCATTTGGAGCATAGGGATCGATTTATAAGAATTGAATGGATTTGTTTTTTTTTTATGTTATTTTGTGAAGGAATGAAAAGAATTCTATATAGAATGATAGAATGGGTTGGGAATTATGCCTAGATCCCGTATAAATGGAAATTTCATTGATAAGACCTTCTCAATTGTAGCCAATATTTTATTGCGAATAATTCCGACAACCTCCGGGGAAAAAAGGGCATTTACTTATTATAGAGATGGTGCGATTTGACTCTTTTTTTTGTTTTTTTAGCCCTACCTACACCCCGGTTTTACGAGAAAGAGTGGGGGTTCGCGGAGAGAAAACCAAATTAGTAAGGGAAACCCACGCTTAGGGAAGGTGAGGTGAACTAACAACTCCTTCTGTCGTGTATCCTCGACTGACGCGGCCTCGGATGCTTCAATTGTAGATTTTAGTATTGAGCGAAAGGTTACACCTACAGGATAGGTTCTGTATTACAGGCTAATCCTACTCTACTAGTACTAATAGGTAGCATAGGGGATAAAAGCACTACACCTAGAAATAGGAATCAACAAGAGAAAAACTTTGTTAGAAATTAACCCTTTCCTGATTGGTATCAGGGCTGGGAAGAATGGTTGGGATAACAAACAACCATCAAGTTTGTACTTTGGATACCCCTATAACCATCAAAGATCGTTGAAGTGGCTAATTCCTCTAAATAGGAGGCGTTGAGAACAAAGAAATTCTTGGAGCTATCGTTTTCCTCTAGCATTAATAGAATTCATTGGTGTTAAGAAAAACCTCTTGTGGGAAGGTTGGCTAGAGATTTCTTGGAAAAATACCAGCCCCTTTCGGTCCATAATGAGATGGAACTAATTCTATTTTTATTCTCTAGATTTTTTCGCTTAGTACTATGTACAGAAGGGAGGAGCCGTATGAGGTGAAAACCTCATGTACGGTTTTGGAACGGAGATTTTTTGAATAGAACGAACGACCGTAACGGATGTTGGCTCAATCCGAAGGAAATTATGCGGAAGCTTTGCAAAATTATTATGAAGCTACGCGACTAGAAATTGATCCCTATGATCGAAGTTATATACTCTATAACATAGGCCTTATACACACAAGCAATGGAGAGCATACAAAGGCTTTGGAATATTATTTCCGGGCACTAGAACGAAACCCCTTCTTACCACAAGCTTTTAATAATATGGCCGTGATCTGTCATTACGTGCGACTATCTCCACTATAGAAAGAAAAATAAGAAAGGATCAAATTTTCTAGTATTTACTAGAAAAGGGGGCTTTCTACATAGGGATCGTCAAAACAACGATTTTGCCCTATCAGCTGTAGGAAGAAAGGACACTTCACGAGAATCAAAATAGGAAGAAAGAAAGTATGGCCTATACTACTCTATGGATAGAGTTCTCAAATTGATAGAGAAAGCACCGTAAAGATCAATTAGTGACCGACTGGGTCGATACAACTAAAAAAACTGCTTACTTATCCCATGATATGGGGCAAAATTTAGGAATCCGCTTATGTAATAGAGCCGATCCACTAAGGGATTAAGCAGCGGTGTAGTATCAGATCCCAAAGATAGTAAGTTCTTTTTTCTTGCTTATGGGGAAAAAGTCTTTTTCAAGGATTCTATAGAAATTTCATATATGAAACCGAGATAGTTACCTTTCAGAAAATTCGGACGAAGGATATAGGTCTATCTATGCTTCATTTTTCTGCAGGTGGGAGAAAAGATCAAACTGATTATTGATCAAAATTTAGGGTTTGAAACTTAGGTAATTAACTTCTTCTGCGTAACCCAAGAAGAAATTGGATCGATTTTTGAGAAATCGAATTCAGTTAAGACAAGGGAAATTAAGATAGCAATTTCTGAGCCGTATGAGGTAGGAAACTCTCAAGTACGGTTCTAGGGGAAGGAACTACCTATTCCGACCGGGGAGAACAGGCCATTCTACAGGGTGATTCAGAAATTGCAGAAGCTTGGTTTGATCAAGCTGCTGAGTATTGGAAACAAGCTATAGCGCTTACTCCGGGAAATTATATTGAAGCACAGAACTGGTTGAAGATTACGAAGCGCTTTGAATTTGAATAAGACCACTCTCCTTTTTCAGAAAATGGGGGTTTGGTTGTTGATCCATTAATCAAATAAATTAGGTCGGAAGATCGAATCAAGAATTTCATTATATCTCTTTCCTCTGCCTTCTATTTTATATTATATTTCATAAGGATAAACGATAGGGTCTAGAATAGAAGTAATAAAGCGAATAAAAAGGGGCAATATAAATATTGCTAATATATCAGGACCATCTTATTAATAATTCTAATGAGTTATCTTGGAATTTGGAATCGAATAAAAAAATCTATATTATGCTCAAGGAAAGTAGATATAGATAGGGACTTATACTCTTAAAAAAAATAGACTAGCTTTTTAAATTAAAAAAAGGTTTTTTTGTTACGTGGAGAAATCCAAGATAAAAAAAGTCCGTTAGGCACCCAATCCTTATGTCATAATAGATCCGAACACTTGCCTCAGATTGACTTCAATATATAATTGCTCCAGTGAATAACTAAAAAAAAATAGAAGGACGGTAGATAGTAAAGAAAAGGACTAATCATAATATCTATCTTTCAAAGGTTCACTAAAAAGTTGGCGGGTCTCTTTGTATGTCTTGTCCGGAAAGAGGAGGACTTAATGATGATTCGTTCGCCGGAACCAGAAGTAAAAATTGTTGTGGATAGGGATCCTGTAAAAACATCTTTTGAGGAATGGGCCAGACCCGGCCATTTCTCAAGAACAATAGCTAAGGGCCCTGATACTACCACTTGGATCTGGAACCTACATGCTGATGCTCACGATTTCGATAGTCATACAGGTGATTTGGAGGAGATCTCTCGAAAAGTCTTTAGTGCTCATTTCGGTCAACTCTCCATTATCTTTCTTTGGTTGAGTGGCATGTACTTCCATGGTGCCCGTTTTTCCAATTATGAAGCATGGCTAAGTGATCCTACTCACATTGGACCCAGTGCTCAGGTAGTTTTGCCAATCGTAGGGCAAGAAATATTGAATGGTGATGTAGGCGGGGGTTTCCGAGGAATCCAAATAACCTCCGGGTTTTTTCAGATTTGGCGAGCATCCGGAATAACTAGTGAATTACAACTCTATTGTACCGCAATCGGTGCATTGATTTTTGCATCGTTAATGCTTTTTGCTGGGTGGTTCCATTATCACAAAGCCGCTCCCAAATTAGCCTGGTTCCAAGACGTAGAATCCATGTTGAATCATCACTTAGCAGGGTTATTAGGACTTGGGTCTCTTTCTTGGGCGGGGCACCAAATTCATGTATCTTTACCGATTAACCAATTTCTTGACGCTGGGGTTGATCCTAAGGAGATACCACTTCCTCATGAATTTATCTTGAATCGCGACCTTTTGGCTCAACTTTATCCTAGTTTTGCCGAAGGAGCAACCCCTTTTTTCACCTTGAATTGGTCCAAATACGCAGAATTTCTTAGTTTTCGCGGAGGGCTAGATCCAATAACCGGCGGTCTATGGTTGAGCGATATTGCGCACCATCATTTAGCTATTGCTATTCTTTTCCTGATCGCAGGTCATATGTATAGGACCAACTGGGGTATTGGTCATGGCCTGAAAGATATTTTGGAGGCTCATAAAGGCCCATTTACAGGACAGGGCCATAAAGGTCTCTATGAAATCCTAACAACGTCATGGCATGCTCAATTATCTCTTAACCTAGCTATGCTAGGCTCTACAACCATTGTTGTAGCTCATCATATGTACTCTATGCCCCCCTATCCATACCTAGCTACTGACTATGGTACACAACTTTCCTTGTTCACACACCACATGTGGATTGGCGGATTTCTAATAGTTGGTGCTGCTGCACATGCAGCCATTTTTATGGTAAGAGACTATGATCCAACGACTCGATACAACGATCTATTAGATCGTGTCCTTAGACACCGTGATGCAATCATATCCCACCTTAACTGGGTATGTATATTTCTAGGTTTTCACAGTTTTGGTTTATACATTCATAATGATACCATGAGTGCTTTAGGTCGTCCCCAAGATATGTTTTCAGATACCGCCATACAATTACAACCGATCTTTGCTCAATGGGTACAAAATCTCCATGCTGGCGCGCCTAGCGTAACAGCTCCTGGTGCAACAACAAGTACCAGCTTAACGTGGGGAGGTGGCGAGTTAGTAGCAGTAGGCGGCAAAGTTGCTTTGTTACCTATTCCATTAGGAACCGCAGATTTTTTAGTCCATCACATTCACGCATTTACAATCCATGTGACTGTATTAATACTTTTGAAAGGTGTTTTATTTGCTCGCAGTTCCCGTTTGATACCCGATAAAGCAAATCTTGGTTTTCGCTTCCCTTGCGATGGGCCTGGGCGAGGGGGAACATGTCAAGTATCCGCCTGGGATCATGTTTTCTTAGGTCTATTCTGGATGTACAATTCCATTTCGGTAGTCATTTTCCATTTCAGTTGGAAAATGCAGTCGGATGTTTGGGGTACTATAAGTGATCAAGGGGTGGTAACTCATATCACAGGGGGAAACTTTGCACAGAGTTCCATTACGATTAATGGGTGGCTCCGAGATTTCTTGTGGGCACAGGCATCCCAAGTAATTCAGTCTTATGGTTCTTCATTATCCGCATATGGTCTTTTTTTCTTAGGTGCTCATTTTGTCTGGGCCTTCAGTTTAATGTTTTTATTCAGCGGCCGTGGTTATTGGCAAGAACTGATTGAATCTATCGTTTGGGCTCATAACAAATTAAAAGTTGCTCCTGCTACTCAGCCTAGAGCCTTGAGCATTATACAAGGACGTGCTGTAGGAGTAACCCATTACCTTCTGGGTGGAATTGCCACAACATGGGCATTCTTCTTAGCGAGAATTATTGCAGTAGGATAGTGGCTAGGAGGATTTGAAAGGCATTATGGAATTAAGATTTCCCAGGTTTAGCCAAGGCTTAGCTCAGGACCCCACTACTCGTCGTATTTGGTTTGGTATTGCTACCGCACATGATTTCGAAAGTCATGATGATATTACTGAGGAACGTCTTTATCAGAACATTTTTGCTTCTCACTTTGGGCAATTAGCAATAATCTTTCTATGGACGTCCGGAAATCTGTTTCATGTCGCTTGGCAAGGAAATTTTGAATCATGGATACAGGATCCTTTACACGTAAGACCTATTGCTCATGCGATTTGGGATCCTCATTTTGGTCAACCCGCTGTGGAAGCCTTTACTCGAGGAGGCGCCGCCGGTCCAGTGAATATCGCCTATTCTGGGGTTTATCAGTGGTGGTATACAATTGGATTACGGACCAATGAAGATCTTTATACAGGAGCTCTTTTTCTATTATTTCTTTCTACCCTATCCTTAATAGGGGGTTGGTTACATCTACAACCCAAATGGAAACCAAGCCTTTCGTGGTTCAAAAACGCGGAATCTCGTCTCAATCATCATTTGTCAGGACTTTTCGGGGTAAGTTCTTTGGCTTGGACAGGACATTTAGTTCATGTCGCTATTCCAGCATCCAGGGGAGAGTACGTTCGATGGAATAATTTCTTAGATGTATTACCCTATCCACAGGGGTTGGGACCCCTTCTGACGGGTCAGTGGAATCTTTATGCCCAAAACCCCGATTCGAGTAATCATTTATTTGGTACCACTCAAGGAGCGGGAACTGCTATTCTAACTCTTCTTGGGGGATTCCATCCACAAACACAAAGTTTGTGGCTGACCGATATTGCTCATCATCATTTAGCTATTGCATTTATTTTTCTCATTGCCGGTCATATGTATCGAACTAACTTCGGAATTGGGCACAGTATCAAAGATCTTTTAGAAGCACATACTCCTCCGGGGGGTCGATTAGGGCGTGGGCATAAGGGCCTTTACGACACAATCAATAATTCGATTCATTTTCAATTAGGTCTTGCTCTAGCTTCTTTAGGGGTTATTACTTCCTTAGTAGCTCAACATATGTACTCTTTACCTTCTTATGCATTCATAGCACAAGACTTTACTACTCAAGCAGCTTTATATACTCATCACCAATACATTGCAGGGTTCATCATGACAGGGGCTTTTGCTCATGGAGTTATTTTTTTCATTAGAGATTACAATCCGGAACAGAATGAGGATAATGTATTGGCAAGAATGTTAGACCATAAAGAAGCTATCATATCTCATTTAAGTTGGGCTAGTCTCTTCCTAGGATTCCATACCTTGGGCCTTTATGTTCATAATGACGTCATGCTTGCTTTTGGTACTCCAGAAAAGCAAATCTTGATCGAACCTATATTTGCTCAATGGATACAATCGGCTCATGGTAAGACGACATATGGGTTCGATATACTCTTATCTTCAACGAGCGGTCCCGCTTTCAATGCGGGTCGAACCCTATGGTTACCCGGATGGTTGAATGCTGTTAACGAGAATAGTAATTCGCTTTTCTTAACAATAGGACCTGGAGATTTCTTGGTTCATCATGCTATTGCTTTAGGTTTGCATACAACTACATTGATTTTAGTAAAGGGTGCTTTAGATGCACGCGGTTCCAAATTAATGCCGGATAAAAAAGATTTTGGATATAGTTTTCCTTGCGACGGCCCTGGTCGCGGCGGTACTTGTGATATTTCTGCTTGGGACGCGTTTTATTTGGCAGTTTTCTGGATGTTAAATACCATTGGATGGGTTACTTTTTATTGGCATTGGAAACACATCACATTATGGCAGGGCAACGTTTCACAATTTAATGAATCCTCCACTTATTTGATGGGATGGTTAAGAGATTACCTATGGTTAAACTCTTCACAACTTATCAATGGATATAATCCTTTTGGGATGAATAGTTTATCGGTATGGGCGTGGATGTTCTTATTTGGACATCTTGTTTGGGCGACTGGATTTATGTTCTTAATTTCCTGGCGTGGATATTGGCAGGAATTAATTGAGACTTTAGCATGGGCTCATGAACGGACACCTTTGGCTAATTTAATTCGCTGGAGAGATAAGCCCGTGGCTCTTTCCATTGTGCAAGCAAGATTGGTGGGATTAGCTCACTTTTCCGTGGGTTATATATTCACTTATGCCGCTTTCTTGATTGCCTCAACATCAGGCAAGTTTGGTTAATTTAGTTAATTTTGTTGTACTGTATCAGCACCTAGTTCATTACTCTTGATGGAGGGGGAGGATCCGCCTTCTTAGATTTCTTTTTCTATTTATTTTTCCATCTAGGATTAGAACCGTATACTTGGTAGATAGTAGGAACGGCACATTATGGCAAAAAAAAGTTTGATTCAGAGAGAGAGGAAGCGGCAGAAATTAGAACAGAAATATCATTTGATTCGTCGATCTTCAAAAAAAAAGATAAGAAGCAAAGTTTACCCTTTGAGTTTGAGTGAAAAAACGAAAATGCGAGAAAAATTGCAATCCCTGCCACGTAATAGTGCACCGACACGCCTTCATCGACGTTGTTTTTTGACCGGAAGACCTAGAGCTAACTATCGAGACTTTGGGCTATCCGGACACATACTTCGAGAAATGGTTTATGCATGTTTGTTACCGGGTGCAACAAGATCCAGTTGGTAAGGATAAAATACCCTTTCGTATTTGTATGGATTTCTGGAATTGATGATCGTAGAAGAGCCCTCTTTACCATTTTGTATAAATGGACTATTCTATTTGTATAGATATGGTAGAGGGGCGTATTCAACCCCCCTTTTATCCACTAGTTCCCCTCTCTTTAGTTTAACAGGATAGAACAGTTTGGTAGCTGACAAGGCTCATAACCGTGGGGTTGCGGGTTCGATTCCCACTACCCGCTCCATATTCCTTCTTTATGATATATGCATCATACATTTGTATATGCATTTGTTTTTCTTTCCTAAAAGAGTTTTGGTCTAACAGTTTTTTCTCTTGGTCCGATAAAAAATGAAAAGAAAGAAGAAAATATGAAAAAAGCGTCCATTGTCTAATGGATAGGACAGAGGTCTTCTAAACCTTTGGTATAGGTTCAAATCCTATTGGACGCAATCTTATTTCTATCTATTCTTTAAATAACTATACTAAAAACTAAGAAAACTTTTTTGCATGATTCAAATGAAAAATCTTTCTCAACGATTTCTCCTCTACTACTTCTACTAACAAGAGTAGACGTGCAAAATTTATGTTTGTTCCTAAAGGGAAAACCGTTCGAGTTGTTCCTGAATAGCTTCCTTCAAAAGGATTTCCGCTTCCTCGGTGAATGTCTTGCTAGAAGATATAATTTCTTCGAATTGAGGTTTAGTATCTTTTAGGTGTTTACGTAACTCATCCAGAAATTTCTTTACCTGTCCAATTTCTAAGGAATCAAGATATCCTCTTGTTCCGATATAAATAGTAGCTATCTGCTCTTCCACTGGAAGAGGATTTGCTTGGGATTGTTTAAGCAATTCTCGTAATCGTCGGCCCCTTGCCAATTGATTCTGACTTGTTTTATCGAGAGCAGAGGCGAATTGTGCAAAGGCTTGTAACTCCGCGAATTGAGCTAATTCCAATTTTGATTTGCCAGCTACTTGTTTCATGGCTTTAATTTGAGCCGCGGATCCTACTCTGGAAACGGAAATACCCACATTAATAGCAGGCCGAATTCCGGCATTGAATAGATCTGCGGATAAGAATATTTGTCCATCTGTAATGGAGATTACATTAGTAGGAATATAGGCGGAAACGTCTCCAGATTGAGTCTCAACTATTGGTAAAGCAGTCATACTTCCTTCCCCTAAAAGAGAATTTAATTTAGCGGCTCTTTCTAAAAGGCGTGAATGCAAATAAAAAACATCCCCTGGGTAAGCTTCGCGGCCGGGGGGTCTTCTTAATAGAAGGGACATTTGGCGATAAGCTTGTGCCTGTTTGGAGAGATCATCATAAATTATTAAAGTATGCCGTTCGCGGTACATAAAATACTCAGCCAGGGCTGCTCCCGTATAAGGAGCGAGGTATTGTAATGTAGCAGGGGAATCCGCCATTTCAGCTACTACAATAGTGTATTCCATGGCCCCCTCTTCATGGAAAGTAGTTACTACTTGAGCTACGGAGGATGCTCTTTGACCGATAGCTACATAAACACATATTACATCTTGCCCTTTTTGATTGAGAATTGTATCTGTAGCTACTGCTGTTTTGCCGGTTTGTCTGTCCCCAATAATTAACTCTCGCTGACCGCGCCCAATAGGAATCATCGAATCGATAGCAATAAGCCCCGTTTGAAGGGGTTCATATACAGAACGCCTGGAAATTATACCCGGAGCAGGAGATTCAATTAAGCGAGATTCCGAAGCTACAATTTCGCCTCTCCCATCAATAGGTTTAGCCAGAGCATTTATAACACGACCCAAGTAAGCCTCGCTCACGGGTATCTGAGCAATTCTTCCTGTTGCTTTTACAAAACTGCCCTCTTGTATCATCAACCCATCGCCCATTAATACAATCCCAACATTTTTGGATTCCAAATTCAGAGCAATACCCCTAGTCCCTTCTGCAAATTCGACTAATTCGCCTGACATTATTTCACCAAGACCTATAATACGAGCAATCCCATCCCCCACTTGAACTACGCGACCGATATTCTCAATCCCTACTTTTCTATTATATTGTTCAATACGTTCGCGGAGAATTTTATGAATTTCGTCGACTCGAAGGGTTGCCATTAGTGTTTCTTTACTATTTTTTTTTCGGAAGCAAGGGGAAAAATAATGCCTAAATTCTAAAGGAAAGTAGAAGTTCAAGGCCTAATTAATTTAACTCTTCCATTCCATGGCCCCGAGAATGCTAATATTAGCACGAATCGTACGGAAATGTAACTCGGTATTCAAACAACTATTCAGAGTTCCTAGAGCTCCTTGTACGGCTTGTTGGAAAACCCGTTGTCGGACCTGATTCATCGCCCTTTGTTTTTCAAAATAAAGGGTTTCGTTTTTAGACTTTTCTAATTGTTCCAAACTAATAGAAGTGGCATTAATCAAATTTGCTTTTTCTCGTTCTATCTCAGAGTATCCATTCATTCGATACTCATCCGCTTCTAGTTCGACTTTCTGTAATCGAATTCGAGCTTTTTCGAGCTGCTCAATGGTTCCTCTACGCAATTCTTCCGAATTTCGAATAGTACTCAAGATCCTCTGTTTTCGATTATCTAATAAATCTTTTAATGAAAGTAGATTACCTTGCTATTAAGTTTACAACTTTTATGATCTCTTCCCGAACCAAACATGAATCTTTCGATTCATTTGGCTCTCACGCTCCCTTTTTTCTTTTTTTGCTATGGCTACTTCCATATTTTTTTTAATGTAATGAGCCTATCCTCTACCCTCTCTTTTCTGTTTATATTTCAATATACCGAAACCCATATAAGACTAGATAAATATTAAGAGGACTCTTCCGCCTAGATAAAAATCTATCGTGGGCAGCAAAGTTGTTTTTTTATTTGTATTTGCCCTTTAGTTAAAATTTTCAATTTCATTAAGAAAAACTAAATAGAAAAATGGAAAATGAAAATGGATAGAATTCCTACTTTTTTCTTCAAATCCAAAAACTTTCTCCTTTTTTATACATAGGTCGTCGATTCGGCATTGGATAAAAAAGGGCAGGGTGCCCCTTCTAGTAAATAGTTCAAACCATTTTATCGATATGAGTGTTCTATATCAGATAAATTCTACATTAGCTATTTCCTGTTTAAAGCATTTGGTACTAATACTAATATAGTTGTAGAAAGAGTACCCCCTTTTGCCTAGACTTCAAGCAGTTTAGCTTTAACCGTGTTAATGGTCTCATATTATTGGTCTATAGAGAATCAAAGTTGATTTGATTTACCAATAGGTCGCGAAATGCTATGGTTCTTTCATATGATTTCTGCATTTATTCAGAAGTAATTCGTCGAGATCGTGCACCCTTTTCTTATTTATTCGAAAAATACTAAAAAATATTCTAAAGTGCAGCCGGATAGATCCAATCTATTCTTGAAATAGACAACTCGCACACACTCCCTTTCCAAAATAAATCAATACACCAACCACTACAGTTAGATTTATTAGATTTGTTGCTAAAATATCGGTATTAAGCCCGAAACTCCCAGCGGATGGCCAGTGAGCTAAAAAAACGAAAGAATGGGTTACATTTTTCATATGCTCTCCTCTTATAGATAGGACGAACAAAGAACAAAGTTTTTCGATCACTTACTTCGCTCGCCCTTTTTGATCGGTTTTTTTAATGCAATTTTTTTTAATAGAAATAGATTCAATTTAGTAATTTCTTTTAGATTAAGTCTTAGATCTCGTTTGACCTGTGAAAGACCTCCTTTGTTGAAATGTTCCCAAAATTCCTAAAATAAAAGGAAAAATACTTTCCACTGCCCTAAACAAAGGGCGGGAAGCAAGACGGCGAACATATCCTCTAAATTGATCATCCTCAAATCAGCTATTCCTGGGGTGGGGTATTGTCTGTCCCCATAAATAGAAAACTCTAGGAGTAATAAATTAGGAGTAAAGTATTGATATAATTGGAATTGCAGAAGCAAATACCAATTTACTAAAAAAAGAAGAAAGTATCTAATCTAAAGGACTCGTTTTCTTTTTTAGGATTAAACAAAAGGGTTCGCAAATAAAAGCGCCAGTGCCACAACTAGTCCATAAATTGTTAAAGCTTCCATAAAAGCTAGACTAAGCAATAAAGTACCGCGTATTTTACCTTCTGCTTCTGGCTGTCTCGCAATACCTTCTACAGCTTGTCCTGCAGCAGTACCTTGACCAACTCCAGGCCCAATAGAAGCAAGACCTACGGCCAATCCAGCAGCAATAACGGAAGCAGCAGCAATTAGTGGATTCATGATGAGTTCCTCGTGTCAAAAAAAAGAAATGGTTAAGGATACAATCAACCAAGAAATTCATATTTCTAAGCTCTATTGGACAGAAGTAACTAAAAAGTACAAATTGAAACGATAATCTGAATTCTCCGAACTGCTTCGAGATCTCCTTTTTAGTTTCTAATCATTAGAGGTTTGTGTACTCATTATTCTATTTCTCTTTCTTTCCAACCAACTGATCTTTCATTCCATCCTTCTTTCTTTCCTCTTCGATATCCTTGAGTTTCTATTTTTTCCCCTATCATCTAATTCATAATAAAAGGTGAAATAGAGGAAGAACCCCTATGGAAATCGACCTAATCCAGATCCAATAGGAATTAAATCAAGATATCCAATTGATAACAATATGCTGCATCGAATTGGATATGGAATCCGATTCCATATATCGGATTAGATAATGAATCTAACTTGGGAATATATAATATCCCATATCAATTTGTTTCTTCTATTTTGTTTGTGTATTTTCTCATTTTCTATTGAATCGGATTCAAAAAAAATTCCTTAAAGTGGAAACCCATACAAAAGATGACTGAACTTATAGACATAAAGGATATAGATCTAGCCTGACTCCGCCCCTCCCTAATGCCTATATACTTTGTTTGGCAATTCCGTAATATAGCCTATTCTCTCTTCTACAACTCTAGATTGTATATTCATACGCAATTCTAACTATTTTGTTTTCCAACCAAGCGAATTTTCCGCAACCATGCATGAATTGAGTTAAGCTAAAAAAAAGACTATTTTGAAAACTAGTCAATTCAATGATGACCCTCCATGGATTCACCTATATAGGCTGCGGCTAACGTTGCAAAAATAAGAGCTTGAATACCGCTTGTAAATAATCCAAGAAACATGACCGGTATAGGAACTACTAAGGGGACTAAAGAAACAAGAACAACAACGACTAATTCATCCGCCAATATATTCCCGAAAAGTCGAAAACTAAGCGATAATGGTTTTGTGAAATCTTCTAATATGTTAATTGGTAAAAGGATTGGAGTTGGTTTAATATATTTCTCGAAATAACTCAATCCTTTTTTGCTAAGACCCGCATAAAAATATGCCGCTGACGTGAGTAAAGCTAAAGCAACAGTAGTATTTATATCATTCGTGGGCGCTGCTAATTCTCCATGGGGTAACTGTATAATTTTCCAAGGTAAAAGAGCACCCGACCAGTTCGAAACAAAAATAAAAAGGAACATAGTTCCAATAAAGGGAACCCAGGGACCGTATTCTTCTCCAATCTGAGTTTTGCTTAAGTCTCGAATAAACTCAAGGACATATTCGAAGAAATTCTGACCATCGGTTGGGATGGTTTGTGGATTGCGAACTGCTATGATAACTGAACCTAGCAAGATAGTAATTACGACCCAAGAAGTGATAAGTACTTGGGCATGAATTTGGAAACCTCCTATTTGCCAATAGAAGTGTTGGCCTACTTCTACGCCCGATATATCGTATAACCCCTTGAGTGTTTTAATGGAACACGGTATAATATTCATATTGTCCCCTGATAAAAAATGAACTTCAAAAAAAGAATTCTTTTGATTCAACCATCTTTTTCTCAACTCAGCAACGTGAAGTATTAATCTTATATTTAGGATATCAAGAAATCACATCAGATGATAATATATATCAATACCCTCTAATATATATCAATATTCCCCGTCTTTTTTCTATGCAAAACAAAAAAGAATAGTAAGTGATTCCATAAATCTACGCAGTTGCCCAAGAATTAACTATTCTTCTTAATCAATGATTTCTTATATAGAGAGAACGGCCCTCACAAATTGCAAATACTAATTTGTTAAGAATCAATCGAATTGAAGTCATAGTGTCATCGTTGGCTGGAATCGATATATTCGCGAGATCTGGGTCACAATTTGTATCGGCTAAAGAAATAGTAGGAATCCCCAAAATGGCACATTCCCGAAGAGCTATATACTCTTTTTGCTGATCGAGGACGATCACAATGTCAGGCAACCTCGTCATATATTTGATCCCGCCGAGATATCTTTGCAAGGTAGATAATTTTCTCTTCAAGATTGCCACATCTCTTTTTGGGAGATGGTGGAATTTTTCCATCTTTTCTTCTGCTCTTAAGTCTCTAAATTGAGAAAGTCTAGTTTTAGTAATCGACCAATTCGTTAACATACCACTGAACCACTTTTTATTAACATAATGACAACGAGCCCTTATTGCAGCTGATGCTACTAAATCCGCTGCTCTTTTTTTGGTACCAACAATTAAGAAGCTTTTTCCCTGACTTGCTGCATCAAAAACTAAATCACAAGCTTCTGATAAAAAACGGGTGGTTCTAGCGAGATTTGTAATATGAGTACCTTTACGCTTTGCCGAGATGTAAGGGGCCATTTTAGGATTCCATTTCTTAATACCATGACCAAAATGAACTCCCGCTTCTATCATCTCTTTCAAATTGATGTTCCAATATCTTCTTGTCATTTTTTCCACACTTCCTTTTGATTTTTTCTTTTTTTTCATCCTACCTTTCCATTACGAAATTTCTTTCTTTTCGAAGATTAAGAAAGAGCCGAAATAGCTTGAAATAAATAATAATTGTTCCGATGGAACCTTCTACATGGTATAAGCATAACCTTAATGAATTAACTAAACTTCTTTTTAAATTAAAATAAAAATAGAAAATCTAACCTCTTAGCGTTCTAAGGTCAAAAATCTAGTTTAAAGTAAAAAATCTGCTTTATGTATCCTTAAATCATATAAATGGGGTAAATGGTGATTCTGATGTCTCATAGAAATTGTTTGTTACGTCAGAATCAGAAGAAACTAATTCTGTATGGAGAAACAAAATATCTCTCATTTCCGACGCAAATAGTTTTTTTTTTTGAATTTCGAAATAAAGGTTCTTGTTTTGTGGGTAACGGTGCACAAATTTTTGGTGTAAATTGAATTTGAATTACATGTTTGCATATTTGTACTACTTACCATCTTCTATAACTTTCTGAATCTGATATGGAAAAACGAGGGGATACCGGGATAGTTACCTTGTCATCGATGTACTTTGCCCAGAACCGCTCGACGGCGCGGCCGTAGGGGTCGCGGGGGAGTATGGACGGGGCGCCATTGGAGGCCGGCCAGACCTCGTCGATGTACTAGACGATGATGAGAGACTCGGCGATGGGCTTGCCGTGGTGGAGCAGCACGGGGATCTTCTTGTGCACCGGGTTGGACCGGAGCAGCAGCTCGCTCTTCTTCCCCACCGTCTCCTGCAACATCTCGTGCTCCACGCCCTTCAGCTTCAGCGCCACCACCACGCGGTTCATGAAGGGGCTCGCCCAGCCGCCCACCACGCGCACCGCCGCCGGATCGCCTGAACTGTTAGTCGACGACATTTTCGCTATCTGCTTCTTCTTGGTGCAGTGAGGAGGTTGCTGCTGATGTTCATGTGTTTATATATACGCAATTATGGAGCGCTTTTCGCTTACTATATTGGAAGCTTCGACGACCACTTACGTGCGTCGTTGTGTGTGTCATATGGTTTATTTTTTTCTCGGTGGCGTGATGCTTGGAGCCTTGGACTAGTATATTGGGCTGACGTCTCTTGATGTGTTCCCTTTTGTCATGTGAGGAGGATTTTCTGTGGTTGCTAGCGATGGAACAATTTCCACAGCCACTAGTCGTTGAGGGCGTGTGACATTGTCTATCCATGTAGGTAAATTGTGCGCCGAGGAGAGAGGAGGGTTGGGGACCATGTCTACACCGGGTTTGCGCGCCTCCACTTGATAACGAGAGCCTCTTTAGAGAATACAACAATGTTGTTTGAAAAAGGGGAAGCGCATCCGTGCATGGCCAGAAAGCAGAAGGAAGGGGGGAAGAACGGTGGCCAACCTGCAGCTCACCGCCATCAGCTTCGGATCGAGAAGCCGGAGAGGGGCGCAGAGGTGGTAAAGTGGCGGTGACCCTAACCCTGACCCCGATGACAGTGCCCTCGCCCGCCCATATGCGTCTCCATCCGTGCCGTCAAGCTTTGCCTTCTTTGATCCGTGTAGGAGAAGCTCGCTGAAGAGGGGAGAGGAGCAGGGGTGCCATGTCCGAGCCAAATCCGCCCTAAGCTCACCATCCCATTCGACGACGACAACAGGAGCTTGCCCGCGGCAGTTGGGTGCGGCAGCAATTGGGTGCAGAGGTGGAGAAGCGGTGGTGCCCCGACCCTGACGGCGGTGCCCATGTCAGCCCACACCTCCTGATCCATGCCGTCGAGCTCCCGCTTCCCTCGCTCCTGCGCCGCCGACCTCCGCTGCTTCCGGGGAGCAAAGAAGTGGTGGTGTGCCATGCTGGAACTGGCCACCCAGCTACCCCTCCAGCCGACACTGTCTACGCTTGGCACTTCGCTTTCTTTGTCCGATGCCTTGGCTTCCTCTGCCGGTGGGGGGTTAGAAGGCACAGAGGAGGGAGAGAGAGAGAGGGGAAAATGAAAAGTGAGATATGATAATGGTGACACCTACTACAAATAACTTGCACTATGGAGCATGTATCTTTCTCTGAGCTTTAGACCTAGCCCCTAGGCCGGTGACAAGTGACAACCGAGACCTAGCAAGTGCAGTACCTGCACTGCTTTCACCCTCAGCGATTGCGAGACCAACAGGTCGATTTCCATCCCTAGATCACAAGAGGAGACAGGCAGGTTTGACTATCAGATGAGATGGGTCACTCGTTGTACTTGTATGCTGCAGAGCGATCGTGTGCCAACGCGACGGGTGGTTCTGTACTTCTGGGCCCTGTGCTCGGCCATTATACTGCTGGGCCGTAGGTCAATTGCTGGGCCTTAATGGGTCAAGGAAACTGTTCTGCTGGACCATCGGTCAATTGCTTTGTTCAGGGGATAAGTGCACTTTGGTCTCTCTATTTGTCGCCCAGTCCGATTTTCGTCCCTTGGTCACAAAACTGGATACAACGCATCCCTCAACTTACAAAATCGTGCAGAAAAGGTCCCTCGGTGGTATTGTACCCAGTTTTGGATTATGTGGCGCCTACGTGGCTCCCTTTGACTAGTTCTTTGTCCCACGTGGCATTGACGTGGCAATTGGATCCCGGGAAAATAATAAAAAACCGTAGGACCCACATGTCAGCTACACAAAAATAATTAATAAAGGGTGGGACCCAGGTGGTCCCACATGTCAGCCTCCCTCTTCTCTCTATCCCCCCTCTCTCCCCCCCACACGGCGAGGAGAAGGGCGAGCGGCAGTGGGCGGTGGGCGGCGGGCGGAGGGCGGACCAGAGGGCCGGTAGGTGGAAGCAGAGCGGCGGCGGGCGGTGGGCGAAGCGAAGACGGGCGGCGGGCAGCGTGGTGAGAGCGCAGGGAGGGAGGAGGCGAGCTCATCGGGGCGGCTAGCGGGAGAGGGGGCAGCACGCGCCGGCCGACAGGAGGGAGGGAAAGGAGTAGCGGTGCGCTAGGGTCGGCAGCCGGCAAGAGGGCGGAATAGTAGCGGTGGCCCGGCCTCTCCACGCTGGTCGGCATCCTCGTCTCCTCCCTCTGCAATGCAATGAAAAGCTCGACGGCGAGGCGCTGTGGGTGGGGCTCGACGGTGGGGCGCCGTGGGTGGGGCTCGACGGCGACGGTGCACAGCGGGCGGCGGCCAGCGACCGTCTCCGCCCCCCTCGTTGGCAGCCGCATTTTTCCCTCTCCGTGCGCGCTTGCTGGCCGGTGAGGAAGGATGATCGCGCGCACTTGTCGGGGCGACGCGGCTACAACCAGCAGCGGTGACGAAGGAGGAGAAGGCGTGGGTGGGGAAGGCGGCGAGGGGCAGCGGGGTCGGTGGTTGGGGGAGAGGGGCTCGGTTGCGGTGGAGGGGGGGAGATGGCGGCATTGATGTCGAGAACAGGCGAGCGAGGCGGGGCGGCAAGCCGCCGCTCCTCTTCCGCTCTCCCGCCGCCGTGGCGCTGTCGCTCCACCCACCGCCCGCCACGATCGAGTCACGTAGGCGCCGCGTCATCCAAAACCAAGCACAATACTGCCGAGGGACCTTTTCTGCACGGTTTTGTAAGTTGATGGATGCATTGTATCCGGTTTTGTGATCAAGGGACGAAAATCGGACTGGACGACAAATAGAGCGACCCAAAGTGAACTTGTTCCTTGTTCAGGTCCTTCAGGATATACGGGCTCCCAAATAGGACCAATTTTGTCCTCAGAACAACAAAGATTCCAAAAAATAGTTACCCCTGAAATCAACAAGGTAAAAGATGAATTTGAATTTTGTTAAGTTAAATTTGATGAACTGGGGCCTAGTTATCGGATTTCACCGAGCGCTGGTAATTCTCATTAAACCGGTGTTCAGAGCCTAGTTCAGAACAGGAATATCACCAGGAAATTGCATGCTGAGAACAATCCTGAATGCTGCATACCATCATGTCTCGTTCACGCTGTAGCGGAGAGGATATGTCACTTCTTGGAACAGCCTAAAGTAGCTGATGACTTTGATGTGCTGATGCTGATGCATACTGCTTGCAAAACAAGAAATGATCATTCCATTAGTCAAACATACTAGCAAAAATTGATAAACCACTCGGCGGCATGGACAAGGCTATACTGTATTCTTACGTTTGACCTGAATGGTCAGCCTCCCTTCATTTCAACACCTGAAATACTCTTCTGATGATGAAACAAATCATGAAATTAACGAGACCCCATGCTCGCGTTACAGCTGGAACACGTTTTAGCTACCTTCTATTTCTTGAGAAAAAAGAAGACACAAGGTGCACGTCACTGATCAGATCACTGACGCAAAATATTTTACCAGTAGTTTATGCCAAGTATGCAGACTACGCAACCACAGGGCAGTATACTATACTCTGTTTTGCTCTGTTCACGGGTAAGTTTGAGATGATATGTCAAGACTGCAGGTCTGCAGACTGCAGCCACAGGAACGGTCTATATATATACGTCCTGGCCTCTTAATTTCTTCCCAAGGAGGAGTCGATCGAGCAGAAGAGAAGCCAAAAGCTCCAATCTTCGAGAGACGTGTGAAGAACATTCGATCGCCATGGCCGGGGGAGGCGAAGAGCTGAAGCTGCTGGGCATGTGGGCGAGCCCGTTCGCTCTGCGAGCGAAGCTTGCGCTCAGCTTCAAGGGCCTGAGCTACGACTACGTCGAGGAGGACTTCAAGAACAAGAGCGATGTCCTCCTCAGCTCCAACCCGGTACACAAGAAGGTCCCCGTGCTCATCCACAAAGGCAAGCCCATCTGCGAGTCGCAGGTCATCGTGCAGTACATCGACGAGGTGTTCCCCGACGCCGGCGTCACCCTCCTCCCCGCCGATCCCCACGATCGCGCCGTCGCTCGCTTCTGGGCTGCCTACATTGACGAAAAGGTTCGTCAGATCACCATGCACTTTTATTGATTACTTGATTTCTCTCTTATGTTTGTGAATTAAGCTGATTGATCGATCTGCGTGTGTTCTGTGCGTTGCAGCTGTTCAGTGCGTGGATTCTGGTGTTCAGAAGCAAGACGGAGGAGGAGAAGGCGGAGGCGGTGAAGCAGACGTTTGCGGTGGTGGAGAAACTGGAGGGAGCACTGAGCGAGTGCTCCAAGGGGAAGCCCTTCTTCGGCGGCGACACCGTCGGCTACGTCGACGTCGTGCTCGGAGGCTTCGTCGCGTGGGTGCACGCGATCGAAGAGGTGTTCGGCCTGAACCAGTTCGACGCCGCCAAGACGCCGCTCCTGGCGGCGTGGTTGGAGCGCTTCGACGAGCTCGACGCCGTCAAGGAGGTCATGCCGGACATTGGCAGGCTGGTCGAGCTCGCCAAGATGAGGCAGGCACAGGCAGCGGGGGCGGCCGCAGCCGCCGCGGGTGAGGCCAGTTGAAGTTTGCTGAATCCTGGAGGGGAGTTTGAAGTTTGAAACACAACCATATAGATTGTCGTGTGCTTCCACATTTTCGCAGTTCCTATGGCTGTACCTCGTCTTGTTTCTGCAACTATGTTCATCAGTTCGTATTGCCGCACCGTGTATCTTCGCCATGTACCGTCGCAGTTGCCAAGTGGGAAGTGGCTATTCTACCAAGATGATGTATGATGTGCTACGTCTATATTAATTCATACGTTGATTTGTTTCAATAATATTTGTTCAAATAAACTTCTTCATACAAATGTATTTTTTCCTACTCCCATTTTCATTTCTTTTTCGAAAGGCCGTCACCCAAGACATTATCATTCAAGAGGTTTGCTCTGGTCTAGCATTGATACCCCTAGGTACTGGTATTGCCAGGTACCAAAACAAATCCAACCGTTTAATCACGAGGGGTACAATCGAGAACGAAATAAAGCCAGCACCCGGAACAAGCTTGCGACGTCACCGCCACCGCCACATTCTTCCTTCCCGAAATGCAAGTATGCATCGTTTCCTTGCCGAAGTGCCATTCCTCCGTGCAGGGCGACGCCGGCTAATATCCCTGTGTACTCTCCATCCCCCATGCCGCCGTCTCTCCACCTCCGCACGGCGGCATGGGCGACTAAATCGACTGTGTTAGTGGCGGGCAGCGACGGCAGAGTCACATAAGTAGGCAGAGAGGTGGAAACGTAGCTCGCATGGAAGTAGATGAGGGATGAAGATGCGGCGATGCAAAGATATATGAATGCCACGGCATTGGTTGGTCTTTGCCTTCTCCACTCATCCGTCCATACAAATTCAAACCGAGAAAAAAAATTTTGCAATGTGAAAGGACAATCTTACCCTTCCACTTCTATTTTATGAGCACTACCACCCCAAGGACTAAAATGGTACCTCGTGGTACCGACCTACGCTAGCCATTGGATCAATCAAACTAATGGATAGGATTCTGTCGACGAGGGATACCCGTAGACAGGATAAATAGGGTATTGAGGTACGTTGGTACGAGGATCTATACGATACGACATCACGAAAGACAAAGATAAAGATTATATTGGTTCAGGCCCCTCGTGAGGTAATAGCCTTAGTCTAGTTTATATAAGATTTATATGGAAAACCACAGAGTATAAAGAGAACAGACGAATCCGGCGTTACCGGCGAGACCCTTGTCGAGATGGTTTGACGAGATCTCCCGACGAGTCTGGCTTCGCGTCCTCCGGCTTCGTAAATTATGGTAAGTGTGTTGGCACTATGATTCGATGATCTGAACCCCTCAGGGGGTGTGCCTTTTATACCGTGAGTTGCCTTAGTCTCTAAGTAGAACTCGGAGACAATGAACCCTACACGATATATATAGGATAAACCCAATCATCTCCGAGTAGGACTCTATTAATCACAAGTCCGTGAGGATATTTTCCATAATATCTTGTAGATTTCCTTATCACATACGGAAGTATATCGTATGGATGATGGTATACCATACTCGTATGTTTCGTCAGTCATAGGATAAGAGGTATGTTTTATCCGTAACCATGATAGATTCGGTATCACAACAGCATGCTGGACGGCAAAAAAGCTCATCATTCAAACCTTGCAGTAGCACGAGGCATAAGGTAATAGATGATAATACTGGATCAAAATTTCTGCTTATTACTTGAGCTACGAACATGCTTTCTAAACTGCTAAACGATATAATTTTTTAAAGAAACTTTTTATATATTTTTTCTTTAAGCAATGACTTTATATTTCAAATTTATAATGATTAATACTTAATTAAATACACGTTAATTGCTCGTCTTATTTTCCTTGCTAACTAGCCAAGCACAACAGCCATATCAAACGCAGCCGTCATCGATGACGAACAACGGAACAGCCGAACAAGCAAGCGTCACTGATCAGATATTACAGTAGTTGTGCCACGTGTGTAGCACAGACCAGGCAAGTAACGAGGAACAAGAGACAGACCAGCACCATATAAGACTATCTCTAACAATAATACCCTTAACAGGAGACCCATTGGACGGTATGTGTCACCTGTGGCAAAAGGGTCACGCACCTATTTCTTGCCTTCTCCAACAGCGAACGCAAAAGGAAACCCTGCAACACGGACAGTTTCCTTCGTGGGCCCGCGATGAAATTTTTACGCGGGAAACGGAGGGTGTCGTGCGAGATATACCGGGCGCGGGGCGCGGGACTGCGGTGTTGGCTCGATGGCGGGATTGTTTTGCCGCCCCGGCTGCATGTGAGAAGGGAGTCTCAGTGGCAGCGAGGTAGCCGCCGGCGAGCGACCGTTCGGACAAGGCCGAACGTTGGCGCAGCAGAGTCAATCAGAACACAGGTAATATGATTTCTAGCATTTGCTTGTTCGATGTCACATTCCCTTTTAATTTGTGGCTAATTCCGTTCGAACATTTGCTTGTTCGGACAAGGCCGGCTGCATGTTTGCTTGTTCGATGTCACATTCCCTTTCAAAAGAATGCAAAGCGGCAGAAAAACCAAAAGCCCACTGATCTGTCCGAAAGATTTCTTCAGATTCGCCAGCGCGAGCACTTGAGCCACCAATATTTTTATCCATCATCCTATTACAACAGAGATTCAATTAAACATGGCACAAACATGCCAGGGAGGGTGCGGTCAACAAAAATTTGAGCGGCGTCGCTGGGGCTAGGCACAGCATGCGGCGCGATGCGCCCTTGGCCAGGGTGCGAGCGGCCGCGGCCAAATCCACGTCGAGAGAGAGGAGAGATGGGACCAGGGATGAAGGAGGGTGGGGTTGGAGAGAGATCCATACTTGCGAATCCTAGCTCAGAGCAGATCTCGCCGGCGGCGGAGCTTTTCCTATCACCGGGGCCAGGTGCGCTTTCCTCTTCTCTCCGCCTCCCGCGAAACAGTTACGCTAGGTGTTTTGGTTGAGGAGAGAGGGCGCTCATATTTGAGTTCCGCCTCGGTTGGCACCCAAAGTAGGTCCTTAGTATGGGTACTCTGTTGGACCCTGTTTTTTTCCGCTACAGTAGCCTGGAGCACGCATTTTGGGTTTGGTTGTCGCTATGCCTAGGCTGTTGGAGATAGTCTAACGACTGCGTTTATGCAAAGCAAGGGCAGTAGAAAGTTGCAATCTGGATGGATTGTCAGCATCTCAAAACTTACAGGGTGATGGAGAATAGTATTGCATAGTAGTGGTGGGCAAGAAAAATGGAAAACTCAATTCATGCTTTAAGGGGATATCCCCTCATTTTTACATGTTACTTAAAATGTCATAAAAAATTGAAAAAATTTAGTAGGATAGATCAATATGTGATATGTCACTTTACAAACATGCATATTAAAATTCAACTTATACAAGTAGAAACAAAAATAATAAATTTGACTACGAATAGAACGTGTAATTCACAGTCAAATTTGTTATTTTTGTTTCGAATTATATAATTCGAATTTTAGCTCGCATGTTTGCGAAAAGATATATCATATATTTATCTATATTGATAAAATTTTCAAATTTTTTTATAACTTTCTGAATGCTATGCATAAAACGAGTGGATATCCTCTTGAGGGACAAAAATCCACTTCCAAGAAAAATCAATGAAGTATATTCAAAACAAATTGGTCACTGGCTGAATAGTTTCTACATCAGTTAACCCTGCAGGCAGAGGCAAATCTCTCTCTCTCTATATATATATACACCACCTATCATAGCTTCGTACCTCCAAAAGACAAGGAGCCCAACAAAACAAAAGCCAAAAGCTCCAATCCTTGGGACGTACTACTGCTTAGGCCTCAGAGCGTTGGATAGCCATGGCCGGAGGAGGAGATGACCTGAAGATGCTCGGCGTCTACGTGAGCCCATTCCCACTGCGAGTGAAGCTCGCGCTCAGCTTCAAGGGCCTGAGCTTCGAGTACGTCGAGGAGGACCTCCACAACAAGAGCGATCTCCTCGTCAGCTCCAACCCGGTGCACAAGAGGACCCCCGTGGTCATCCACAACGGCAAGCCCATCTCCGAGTCCATGGTCATCGTGCAGTACCTCGACGAGGCGTTCCCCGGCGCCGGCGCCGCCCTCCTCCCCTCCGACCCCCTCGACCGCGCCGTCGCTCGCTTCTGGGCCTCCTACGTCGACGACAAGGTAATTCGTATGATCACCGTACATCAGTTCTCTCACGCAAGCTTTTCTGACGATTTTGGTGCTGATCGAATGATGCAGCTGTTCAGTGCGTGGAAGATGGTGTTCAAGGGAAAGACGGAGGAGGAGAAGGTGGAGGGGAGGAAGCAGACGTTCGCGGTGGCGGAGACGCTGGAGGGAGCCCTGAGGGAGTGCTCCAAGGGGAAGCCCTTCTTTGGCGGCGACGCCGTCGGGTACGTCGACGTCGCGCTCGGTGGCTTCGTCCCGTGGGTGCATGCGATGGAGGAGCTGTTCGGGTTGAAGCAGTTCGACGCCGCCAAGACACCGCTCCTGGCGGCGTGGCTGGAGCGCGTCGGCGAGCTCGAGGCCTACAAGGCGGTCATGCCGGACGCCGGCATGATGATAGAGTTCAAGAAGAAGCAGGCACAAGAAGCCGCCGCAGAGGCCTGAGGCCAGATGAAGGTGTGCACTGATCCAAGAGGGTGGTTGAACACTATTACATCGATTGGTTGGCGCGCAAAAGGGCGGCTACGTATTCATAGTGATTATTGTCTAATAATAATATAATATAAATAACAAATTAGTGTAAACTCTATCTAATGCATCCATTATTCACATTCACATTTGTTATTTTTTAGGCCGGGCCCGCTTACATCTGATAGCTTATAGGTCATAGACTGCCCTCACAGACCAACACATGCAGCCGGGAAGAATTTCCCGGTCGGTCACCCATCCCAAATTGCTCGGGAAGAATTTCCCGGTCGATCACCCATCCCAAATTGCTCTAGGCCAAGCACGCTTAACCCTCCAGGCCAAGCACGCTTAACCCTGGAGTTTTTTTGGAGATCGGCTTCCGGAAAAGAAGCTTAACCCTCCAGGCCAAGCACGCTTAACCCTGGAGTTTTTTTGGAGATCGGCTTCCGGAAAAGAAGCTTAACCCTCCAGGCCAAGCACGCTTAACCCTAGAGTTTTTTTGGAGATCGGCTTCCGGAAAAGAAGTTGTAACTTGTTAATATGAGTATTCTATTAATCCTATTAAGCCCTAGGCCGGGATGTTACACCCTCACCCCCTTAAGAGAGATCGACGCCCCCGTCGATCAACCCCGCCCTGGAGTTCTTTGGAGATCGGCTTCCGGAAAAGAAGTTGTAACTTGTTAATATGAGTAGAAAAGAAGTTGTAACTTGTTAATATGAGTATTCTGTTAATCCTATTAAGCCCTAGGCCGGGATGTTACACCCTCACCCCCTGATTCCCGGTCGGTCACCCATCCCAAATTGCTCTAGGCCAAGCACGCTTAACCCTGGAGTTCTTTGGAGATCGGCTTCCGGACACCCTCACCCTATTAAGCCCTAGGCCGAGATGTTACACCCTCACCCCCTGATTCCCGGTCGGTCACCCATCCCAAATTGCTCTAGGCCAAGCACGCTTAACCCTGCTCTAGGCCAAGCACGCTTAACCCTGGAGTTCTTTGGAGATCGGCTTCCGGAAAAGAAGTTGCAACCTGTTGATATGAGTATTCTATTAATTCTATTAAGCCCTAGGCCGGGATGTTATAATTTTAAATGTATTAATATTGCATATTTCCAAAGTGACGCAGACCCACCTAGTTTGTAAAGTAATATTACTAATTTGAATTGTATTCTTGCTAATATTGTAGTTATAGAAATTTGACTATGGGGGTGTTAAGATCCGGGGTGTAAAGTTTTGGCGTGTCACATCGGGTATTATATAGGGTGTCGCATAGGGTGTTTGAGCATTAATAAAAAACTAATTACAGAATACGTCAATAAACCGCGAGACAAATTTATTAAGTCTAATTAATCCGTCATTAATAAATGTTTACTATAGCACCAAATTATCAAATCATGGAGCAATTAGACTTAAAAGATTTGTCTCGCAAATTAGTCGCAATCTGTGTAATTAGTTATTTTTTAGCCTATATTTAATATTTCATGCAGCTGTTTAAACGTTCGATGTGATATGGTGTAAAATTTTTATGTGGCAACTAAACATGGCCGCCTATGTTGTAGTTGAAAATACGTCGCATCATGTATGGATGCACCCGACCAAGAAATGCAAGCGTGACACAAAATGTATATGGATAATACAAGAGAATGGGAAATAAATTAACAAGACTTAGTGTTAGTTTACAGAACTTAGGCCCACTTTTTTTCTCAGCTCCAAACTTCAACTTCCTCACTTTTCGTTCGTACGTTTTTCAAACCGTTAAACGGTACTTACGTTTTTACGTTTTTAGTAAAAAGTTTTTATGTAGAAGTACTTATAAAAATTAAATAATTTTTTTTAATTTTATAATAGTTAATATTTAATTAATTATGTAGTAATGAGTTTTCTCATTTTACGTGTGTTAAAATTATTCCTCGAACTCCCAAAAATGAAAAAAGAAAATATTCCTCCAACTGGTGCCACCGAATGGAGACTTAGTGTTCTGGAACCAGTCAACCAGATTGGTGATAACAAGAGCTGACTTCTTTGATTTTTACTGATCATCGTTTGAGCGTCACAGCATACGCACACATGGCAATCAGAATTCAGAGAGGAAGCAGTCAGTCTAATCTCCCTAATAATGTATATGCACAAGAAAACAGGTACAAGTGCAGATTGAAACAGGTACAAGTTCAGATTGACGTTTTTTTTTAAGGGGAAGGACGGCAGGACATCTGCCGGAATTTAACAATAGAGAAGGTATGTCCTGTTTGATAAAGTAAGCTACTTCGGTTTCTGAACAAGAAGAGTTTGGGAAGATTCTTCTATTTCTTTCTAACCAAATATTCAACCAGGTAGTTAACAACGAGCCTCTAATCGCATGCGCTTGCTCTTTGGAACCTGCAGGGGTCAGATTTTGGAATTGGCAAACTAGGCTCCAAACTTGTCTGACAAAGACACATTCACTGAACAGATGATGTATCTTCAAAAGCGGTACAGAGACAACATATCCAATTGCATGATTAGTGTCTCCGGAGCAAATTCTGGGCAATAAGGGTTTTTTTTTATAAAGAATTAACAATCCAAAGAATTTCATTTTTGGTTCAACCAGGGCCCTCCATAGAGATACAAAATCATTCCTAGCGAAGGAACCTTAAAATTGAAAGAGATACGCTCTTGGTTGTGTAGGAACCAGGTTCAGTCCAATCCCAGGAAATGTCATCCGGATCTTAAGAAAGCGAGACCAGTTGGAGCAAACCTCCAAGCTGCACCAAGTCATGCAATTCCTCCACATAGGTGAATTGTCTAAAAGAGGTAAGCCATTTGTTGTCTCTCATCTCAACTTGCATGGTTCTTTGCTTTCTATTTACCAGACTGAAACAGTTGGGCACAATATCTTTTAAACATCGATTTTGGATCCAATTATCATGCCAGAAACTAGTTTTAGCACCGTTGCCCACTGATATTGTTGTTGCTGCTTGAAAAAGTCTTTTGTTCAAATCGTCACAGAGTAGATTAATGCCTACCCAAGGTTTGTTCTCCTCCTTCCACTTGAATTAGAGCCAGCGGAGTTGAAGAGCTCTTGAGAATCTATCCAGGTTTGGGAGGCCAGCCCCACCCAATTTCTTGGGTTTACAAACTGTTTGCCAGTTGATCAAACTGTCGCTAGGATTTTAGTGATCGGGATATTTGCCTTTCCACATAAACGATCTTCTGAAACGGTCAATTCTTTTAAGTACCTATTTGGGTGCTTGAAAGACCGTAAGATGATGTGTCGGCGTAGCACTTAAAATAGAGGTAACTAGTGTTTGACGTCCCGCAGAGGTAAAAAAATGTCCTTTCCAGCCTGGCAGTCTTGACCCAATCTTATCTATCAGCCTTGCAGATTGACGTATCAGATGACAAATAATGGAGTAGCGACGAGTATTATGTGTTTACGTGAATAATACAAATGATGATATCAAAAGGATTGGAACAGATTTGTCAGCCACTCAGCCTACGCTTCTTTGTACTGAAGTCAAGATAAGTGCAATCGTGGCTGAGTTTTTGAGAGCATCACCCAATATACTAGTCATTGATGAAGAAAGAAAAATGAATGACCAGCTTGACCATGCTCATACTTTTCTTTGATTCTTGCCCAAGCATATAAACTTTCGATTGTTTATTCAAACCAGAATTTTATACCAGAATATAACAAAAAAACAGTCGTCCGGCCTCTTCGTGGAAACTGCAGATTTCAGAGCTCAGGCTAATATAATTTGGGCCTAATTCTATAAATACGCGTCATCTCCTTCCACCTCAACACCAACCACCAAACAGAACAGAGCTCGCAACTCACAAGCTGATACAGAGCAGAGACCATCGGAGTTCAGAGTTCAGACACGAGAAAGCCATGGCCGGAGGAGGAGACGAGCTGAAGCTGCTGGGCATGTGGGCGAGCCCGTACGTTCTGCGAGTGAAGCTCGCGCTCAGTCTCAAGGGCCTCGACTACGAGTACGTCGAGGAGGATCTCAAGAACAAGAGCGAGCTCCTCCTCAGCTCCAACCCGGTGAACAAGAAGGTGCCCGTCCTCATCCACAATGGCAAGCCAGTCTGCGAGTCGCAGATCATCCTGCAGTACCTCGACGAGGCGTTCCCCGATGCCGGCGCCACCCTGCTCCCCGCCGACCCCCACGAACGCGCCGTCGCTCGCTTCTGGGCCGCATTCTGCGACGACACGGTACCAACTCGACCACCACCACCTCGCATCGATCCATCCATCTGATCATCCGCGTCGATTCCGATTTCCGTGTTGTTTATGCGCGGTGGATTATTATTTTTGGCAGATCGCGAAGGCGTCGCAGCAGGCGTCGTCGGGAAAGACGGAGGAGGAGAAGGCGGAAGGGGAGAAGAAGGTGGTGGAGGCGCTGGAGAAGATGGAGGTCGGGCTGAGCGAGTGCTCCAAGGGGAAGCCCTTCTTCGGTGGCGACACCGTCGGCTACGTCGACATCGTGCTCGGCAGCTTCCTGGCGTGGGTTCGCGCCGGCGACGCGATGAAGGGCGTCAAGAGGTTCGACCCGGCCACCACCCCGCTGCTGGCGGCGTGGGCCGAGCGCTTCGTCGAGCTGGACGTCGCCAAGGCCGCCATGCCGGAGGTGGACAAGCTGATCGAGCTCGCCATGGCGAGGATGGCTGGCGCCGCTGCTGCTGCCACCAACTGAAGATACACCAGTTCTCTTCTAGTTCTAGTTCTGTTTAAGGTGTTATTTTCTTCGATGAAAATAAATGTTGAATGAAGGGGTGGGTCAGTGTGTGTGAGTATGGGAGATCTTTCACAACTTAAGAAGCACATGTATGCCCTTTTGTTCTTATATTTCTATCAAAAAATTTACCAATAAATATCTGATAGCGTTGACTCTATTTTATTTCCATAAAAAAAATAATGGCTAAAATGTATTAAAATTACATCTAAATATATGATAGTGTTGACTCTTTTTTATTTCTATAAAAAAATAATGGCTAAAATACACCAGTATCCTGTACTAATCCGGATCCCCTCCTCCTACCTCACTCTCCTCCCGCAAATCAGATGGCACCCGAGGTGCAGCCCTCCCCATTGTCATAACCCCACCGCTCATCGGAGCCGGCGGCCGCCGCGGCGAGGGAGGTGGCGACGGCGAGGAGCTCGGCAGCGGGTGCGGTAACCGAGAGGGAGAGTGGTAGCGGGTCGCGGAGGTCGAACACACGAGGGAAGAGGCGGAGGAAGTGGAGCGCACCTCGCCGGTGGAGCTGTAGTGCCCGTTCCGTCGTGGCGCCTAGCGGGAAAATTTAAATTCTAAAAACCCTATTTGCGAAGATTGTTTCTTTGCTTGTTGTCCGTTTCCGTGCCAATTCCAGATCTCAAATCCCCAATCCATCGTCAAATTCAAATCCCTAATCTCAATCCTTCTCGAAAAGTCTATTTTGCCTCCCTTAGGTTCGGTGGGCCGATTCCCTCTTGGCCCATCTTTCTCTCTTTCTCTCTCTCCCCTCCCTCGCTTTGCCCGTGCGCCGCACGCGCGTGCGCGTGAGCCGCGCCGAGCGCCTCTCCCTCCCTCTCCGTTCTCGCCGCCGTTCCCGCCGACGCCGCCCAAATCGCCGCGCCGCCCGTTGCTTCCCGCGCGCGCGCGGGCGCCGTGGTGGCCGACCGGCCAGTCGCCGCCGCCGTCAGCCCTCTACCGCGCCTGAGCCCGCGCCTGCCGCCCGTGTCGCCGCTCCGTTCCAAACCGCCCCCGCCGTCATCGCCGTCGTCACGACCCGGCCCCGCCACTCCGCACGCTAGCTTCCAAGGGATGGAGGCAGAGCTCCTCCTCCCTCTGCCGCATCGCCCTCTCTCCCTCCTCCTTTTCCCAAAGTGGCAAGGGGCAAGCCCCCCTTTCTCTCCTCTTTTTTCCCTTTCTCTTCCATTGGCGTCACCCCCCCTGTCGCCGTTTTGGCCACGACCGCCGAGCACTAGCTCGCTCCCTTAACCGTCCTAGGTCGGTTCCCAAACCGACATCGCCTCCTATTTAACCAAGGCGCCCTCCCATCAATTCCTCCTCCCGTTTCGCTCGCCACCACCGCGCCATTGCTGCCCCTCTATCTCGCCTCCGCCGTTCATCGCCAAGCACCGGGAGAGCCGGTGCGTGCGAAGGACGCGTGAAGGGGGCTTCGGGCGCATCGTCTTCCTCCGCTTCCCCGGCCCGAGGCCGGAGAGATCACTCCCGTGCCGTCGGCCCATCGTCACTGCGCCCCGTCCCGCACGGTAGTGCATCTCCCCGTTCTCCCTCCTCGTTCCCCCTCTTCCCCTTAGCTTTCGGTAGAAGCTTGTGTAGCCTCCCCGTAGCTAGCTGGTGCCGCCCCAAGCCTTGCCGCCGCCCACTGTGTGCTCGCCGCCGTCGCCGCCCGAGCTCGGTAAGCGCCTCTCGTCGCCGGCCTCCCTCGGTGCGTTTCCTCCTAATCCGGCGCAAGGAATGGATTCCCGGAGTTGCGTAGATGCTCTAGCTCGCCCGAATTGATCTCCCGTCGCGCCATCGCCGTTTCCCTCTTCTCTCGCCGCCGGATGCCGCCGCCGCAATCCACCGCCATCGAACTCCCTCCGGCGAATCCGAGCCGTTGGCTCGTCTCCCCTCGTCTCGTGCAACCACCCGATGTGCTCGCTTTCGCTTGTATCGCCGTGGTTCACCCCGCTGTTCGCAGCCGCCGTCCGCCGTCCGTTCTGGCCGATGTCGTCGTCTACCTCCCGCCGGCCCGCGTGGCAGCCATGTAGGCGCCACGTCGGCGCCAGCTCGGCCAAGACCGGGTCGAGCCGACCCCGGTCAGCGCTCCCTCCGGCCCCGCTCGCGGGCGCAGTCCACCGCGAGCCGTGAGGCTGCGCGTGGGCCCGCCGCATCCGCGTCCTCCACGAACCGCGCGCGTGCACCGCGTCTCTCTCCCCAAACCCTAGCGCGCGCCGCGTGCTCCCTCCGCACGGTGAGCCGAGCCACCGACAAGCGGGTCCCACTTGGGACCACGCGAGAAGGACCCGGCCCATCGGCTCCCTCTCTCCTCCCCTCTCGCGCGTGCCTTGGGCCGCCTTCTCGGGCCGGCTGGCCCATTAAGCTCGGCCGAGCCGCGCCTTTTTCTCTCGGGCCGCGCCCTAGCCGCCCGAGGGAAGTCTATTTCCCCTCCCTCTTTCTTTTCTTTTTCCAAAAGGGTTTAATTATATCCTTTTCCTTTAGAACAAAAATCCAATAATCTTAGAAATTCAATATCTTCTCAACCGTATGTCCGTTTGACTCCGTTCAACTTCCAAAAAATCCTCAAATCTTGAGATCTATCTAATGGCACGCTTAGAGGTCAATAATAGGGCTTTATTTTCGCCGTTTGTTGAGTTGTCCCGTTTCGCGTGTAGTTTCGGAGCCCGAAGACCCGCAGTGCGAGAATTTCGAGGATCAAGCCCAAGATCTCGAGCAAGGCAAGTCACCTTTGATCATCTTGCACCTATAATTTAAATCTAAGTATTTCTTTTCTGTAAATATTGCATGAATAGGATTAACACGAGTATTTCAGCCGTGGCTTGCGAGATAGCCACCGGCCCCAATCCTAATTGCTGCAATTACCCTCCTTCAATTATTGAACACTTAAACCTCCTTTGTCAATTGTTGTGCTTCGATGCACGGGCCTCCAGGTACGCGCATCGGAACACCTTCCCTCAAATTTAAAATATCCAATGATGGGTAAAACTTGGGGCTTTACAAAAGACTTGAAAAACCCGACACTTGGGTCGGTGCTTGCGAACTAAATGAATTTCCAAAACCGCAGACCGGGGAACGTACCGAGAGTACGGTTTCCCGCTCTTGCACTTAAGGACCGTTTTCCTTGGAATTTCATCTGAACATAAGACAAGTGTGACCACATGGGTGAAATGGGACACCCCTGTCTGAGTAATTAGCTAATCGGGGAAACCATGATGCCAAGAGACATGTGGAGTCAACAGGGTGGTGTCGGGGAGAACCCCCGGGCTTCCTGGCACAGTATGGTCTGGGACCTAACCTGTTGTTGGTCTGGGACCCCTCTTGTTGGCATATGGTAAACCTGTGTTGGCTTTCGAAATGCCTTGTCATGAAAGCCTCAAGGTCTCCAGACGTGGCCGTTCTGCACGGGCTGGGTTATCCGGGTTAGTAATGTCGTGTGGGTAAAGTGTACCCCCTCTGCAGAGGTTATTAAACTGTTCGAACAGCCGTACCCACGGTCATGGGCGGATGTGAGGTGATTCCTAGCGTAGTTTTGTTTGACTACTGCTTTGTGAAATTGCTGTTGTGGAATGGGATCGATGTTTGGAAAATCTGCGGCTGATGGGATCAGCCAGGCCCGGGTGGCCGTTTGAAAGCTGTTGGCCGGGTGCCAACCTTGAATCAATTCAAAGACTGATATATTGCACATACTCCGACCAGACGAGACGCACTGTCTCATCCGTGTCGTTTGAGAAGCACTCACTTAGCTAATTCGAAAAGGAGTTTAAATAAAATCAATTGCAAAAACAACAGCCTTTCCCTTGAAGCCTGCATTAAACACCTAATTCCCATGGCTTGCTGAGTACTCCTGTACTCACCCTTGCTCTATATAAATAATCCCCCCCAGTTGCTGAAGAAGATGAAGTGGATCCTGCTGATGAGGAGTTCTTCCAGGAGCAAGTCGGCTACGATGAGTTTTAGGGTTTCGGCCTAGTTCCCAAGTCACGCCTATGATGATTGGTCCAAGTCTTGGCTTCCGCTTTCCCCTTTTGTAATGCAGTTGTGAGCTCGGGATCTGTCCGCAGCCCAACATGACTGTACTCCTACTCTGTAATAAAGAGACCTCTGTTGCTATGATATTCTGTCTTCCTGTGATACCAGCATTGTTTCCTGGGACTGGTATCGATGAACAGGTTAATTTGGAGCGTCACGGGCTAGTTCCGTTCGGGGCTAGTTCGGGACGTGACAAAAGATGGTATCAGAGCACAGGCTTGGCCCTAGGGCGAAACCCGACGTTTAGGACGACCCTAAGGATACTAAGTTCTACTTGCGAAAAGCTAAGGCTTCCTTTTTTGCTTTCTTTATTTTCAATAGTTTATTGCTAAAATGGTTACTTATCTTTCCTCTCCCTTTCAAAATTGTAGATGGCAGTGAACGCCAGCTTCAGTTCCCACGGTTTTGGTGAGGGTCACCACGTCGCTCAGCTTCGTGACCTCGCCCGCTTCCTTGGCTTCTCGTGTCCTGAGTACACGGGGTACTCTGTGGACCGTGTTCCCTCTCGTTATGAGCTTTCGGTGTACCTTTACCCTCGTGGAGGTATACACGGGGCTGGCCTTCGCCCACACCACTTCACTGTGGCCAGGCCCACTCTCCAGATCGCGTACCAGGACCTCTCCTAGACTGCACTTCGTCGCTTGGCCCACGACTACAGCCACCGCCTCGGGGGCTCTGCCTTTCGGCAGCTCCTGCGCCTTCCTTCTGGCCGCACTGACACTAGGTACCCTTGCCCGTACAGCGAGTCTCAGCCTGTGCTGACTCGCATGGTTGAGCTCTCTGAGGCTCAGGCCACCCAGCACGACCTTCTCCTTGAGGCTTACCGCTCCCTTGCTCGCCGCTACGCTGCTTTGGAGGCCCGCCTGGCCGAGGAGGGTGTCACCTCAGTTGACACTGCCTCTTGGGACTTAGGTCGCCTCTGCCACGCCAGCCACCTGTCTTCCCACAGCTCCCGCGGCTCTGTTCGCACTCCCAGTGGCCCGCGCACCCCCAGTTCGCGTGTGCCGTACTCCCCAGTGCACTCTCCCTACCCTCACCCAGTTAGCCCTTCCTACACTCCTGGTCACACCCCAGTTGCTTCCTCCTGCCGTGGCCCACGCTTTATCCGCACTGTGCGGAAGCGTGTTGTTGGTT